CTACTCCACATCTATATACCTACGCATACATGCTCGTTGTTTCAATATATCGCCAAATTGGTCGATAAACTTTCGCCAAGGGCGTCACTTCCCATCTCTGCTGTTCACTCCTGCAACATAGATTTGCTTTGTCACTCTTTTATAATAATTAAATATTTTATATTTAAGTTCTTATAACATGAACAAGGAGTGCCTGAAAACCAGTGCTTCATGGGATCTTAGTTCCATGTAAGCAAAAGCTAAGTCACCCTTAGTTAAGGTTAAGTAATTAGTTTATATGTTAACATGTTTTTTAAATGTGGCAATAAAGTGGTATTTATTTATTTATACGCCAGTAAAAATAGACGTTTTTTTGGTCAACTTTGCACTAAATTTCCAATCTAATTTTTACTTTTTATGAGGTTTAGGATCACTTACTGAGCATAAAATCACAAAATGCTGACAGATCCAGATGGCGCTTCAAGCACCATCTTGAAAAAACCTTTTCAGGCGATATCTCGGAGACTATGCACTTTAAGGCAAAAGGTATAGAAACCATTATTGTAGAGAATAAAATTTCGCATCTTTTGTTTCCAGTAAACTTTTTTGTAAAACTTATCGTTTACGATTTATGGCCCATTTAATGAACCGGTTTTTCTATCGCGGCCAATAACTCTTGAAATATTAGATTAATCAATAAAATGCATTAATCCATTTTTAAAGATCAGTTTATTCTCTACAACTTAAGTTTAAAACTTTTTTTTCTAATGTCCATACTTTTAATTTTTTTGAATTATAGGACGTTTAATGTTTGACCACCGGGCGTAAAGTTGAAAATTTCAACAGCCGACCTCGGCCGACGCTCGGCGGGTGACGCGGCAGCAATACGTATCCTTGAAATTTTAAACTTTACGCCACTTAGTAGTTACTTTGGTGCAAAGTTAAATTCTATTTTTACTGTACTATTATGAAACTTGTGGCCGTGGAAGGAAAAGGGCAGATCTACCGCCGGGCAAGGTGTTCTGCCCGGGGAGCGGCCGACGCTCTGTGTGATAGTTGAGAGCTATTCTATATATACAGTTTTACTTCGGAACTTTGATAGCGCGATTCAGGCTTCGATGTGTTTCGCTTATTGGTATGGTGACAATTACTCGAGCGCCGCAGATAATACACTGATATTTCTTAACCTCACACGTTAAGTGGTTTTTGGGAATTGTTTGAAGCCGCACAAATTTTCAGTCACGTATTTGATGTAGGTATAATGGAATGGCGAACTTTTCACAACTGCTTGCGTAGAAGGTAATATTGTCGGTAGATTAGGTTTTACAGCAGATACGATTATATGCTGAAAATATAGCGGTCATTTTGTACTTATTTACGATGTAAAACACAATTATGAAGTTTGTCCAATTCGCTTCTTGGTTCGTTTGTTGGTACGTCCGTTAGTTATTTTATGAGCCTGTTTGTTAGATCCTTCGTTAGTTTGTCTGATTGACTAACTGAATGTTTTTATCTAGAAAAGGGTCGTCGCGATTAAAACTACAAATAAATCATAATCACATATCACAACAATAGCAAAGGTACCAATAACACGCGAACGAAATCGCGGGCGCAACCAGTTATACTAAAAACCTCTCTTTCAAGAATTATCTGGCAATATTATGCAATCAAATTTAGTTTATTTATTGTAGAAAAGTAACTGTGACCATCAAAAACGTAAATGTTAAAAAGGGCCAGTGCAAACTGCCTTCGGGGTTGTCGGCTTCGTTAATGAAAAAGATGAGATCAGAACGTTCGCCAAGATCTATAGGAATATGCAACGTTCTTGGAATGTTGGCTGACACACTGCCGTTTGTCTAGATCACAATTACCACTCACGATTATTTTAAACTTGAAGTATGTAAAAGCCTTGAATTGATAACAGAAGTATCTATATAAAGATGTACTATTTCATGGCAAATATTGTGAAATTCTACAATCAACAATACTTAAGCAGAAGATAACATCAACTGACGTAGAAGACAGTTTATATTTTAGAAAAAATATCTGGATACGATTATATTGAAATACGAAAGAACATAATTATTTTGAACCTTGGGACCTGTAGTTGCTGACAATACCCAAACTTCTCGAAATATATGTTTCTATATAGTATAAATATGGGAAAACTGCCTCGTTGGTTTAGTGTTTATAGTAGTGCGACTGCTGATTATGAGGTCCTGGGTTCAAATCCGGGGTTGGGCCAAAAATCACTTATTGAGTTTTTCCGTCAAGAAATTCTCAGTAGCTGCCCGGAATCAAGACGTTGGCGGTGTCCCCCCCCCCCCCCCGTGCCTCGGAAAGCCATTGGTCCTGCGCTTGATCTCTCTCCGGTCGTATCGGTTTACCATCCTATCGAATTATGATAGTGAGGGAATAGTCTCGTGCACTATAAACCTACCCTGCGTCGATGGCTAGTCTCCGTCGAGACTGGCCGCCGTGACCGAAATCCAGTCTGGAGGACATTATTATAAATATAGGATCGATTCCTTTACTCTACTAAAAGGAGACCATGGGAAATGCCAGTAAAACTTAGTGCTTCCGAGAGATAGCGGCATACTGTCACATAAGACGCGCGCAGCAGCGTTAAATGAGCGAGGCCGATGCCTACTGCAACCGTCAATCCGCCAAGCGTGACGACTAAAGCAGTGGAAGAAACCTATACTTACAGTAGGCCTTTCTGGACTGATAATGAAGATGTGTAAAAATACGGAAAGTTGCGTCAATTTGAGAAGTGCGAAATCGTCTTCTGCAGTATAAAGGTAAAATTAAAAATTTTGTTTCTTCAATGTAAATGAAATGGGAACATCGTCAATGTAGTCAAAGTAATTAAAAAAGTACTGGTTAGATCTTGACCAATATGGGACCACATCAGAAGCACCACCTTTCAAATAATAAGAATCATATAAATCGGTTCACCTTGAAAAAAGTTCTGAGGGGACACAAAAAAGTCGGTTAAAAATAAAAATAAATTAATGTTACGACAAGTAATGTTAAGAATATTTAAGGCTTGAATAATGTTAATAACCCTATTTTTCTAGATTTCCCCATAGGCAGTGCTTTAAAGCATCCTTGGTCGGAGGGGGATGGGGGGCGTTCAATGTTTAGACATGATAGTTTATAATTATAATGATGCTGATTTTCTGAAGGATCTTATTTGACAAACAAAATTTTAATTTCTTATGTCGAAAAATGAGAGAGTTTCATATAAATATGTGGATATACGCCACTCTCCGTAGTGGGGAAGCAATTCTTCCTGTTTTACGTTCTTTACGTTCCTCGCGACGATGTGGCGATGGAGACCTATGTACTGGCGATAGAGTGCCGTATTGGGCGCGTGTCGGCGACCTCACTTACATGGCGATTGGTCTGTCTGTCTTGATTCTACGGCGACTCCGATATCCCTCTGCGCTATGTGGTTACCGTGACGCGGCTGAACATAGTTCGCAACCGTACCCCCTGGGATGATCTTCCCCTTTTAAGGTGGATTGGCGATTAAGAACTCGACTCTCTCGCTTTAACACTACTCGTTGTAGCCAGTCGTGCTTTACATCTGTTTCAAGAGAAAAGATACTGCCATAGTCTATTGAAGGCTATAAGATCTGGCTATTTGCCTACATCGTCTCTCGCGACACTTCATCAATACGGGTTCTTTCATCATCATTATCATTACATTTCTTCACAAGTCCACTGCTGAACATAGGCCTAGGCATGTCTTACCAAGTCGTCATTCACTCTAATGGGGGGCCGTGTCGACCTTTTATCCCCATTGATTGTCAACTCTTCAACCTATATGGCCAGCCCATTGCCACTTTAGCTTATTGATCAAAATTTCATATACCTTTTGAGAATTGACATTCAGCATTTTTTTTTAAATAGATGCTACGATGACAATCAAGCATTTATTAAAACATAGTAATTAGACAGGCAATGAATATTTGGCCGAATACCGTAAAATGAAAAGATTTATTTATTTCATAATTACTTTTTCATAGGTACATAATTAACGTCCATATTATAAAAATTAAAAAAAGATCTATCAGATAAATGTCTACGCACTCGAATTATCGTAAATCCTAATTAAAGTAGAAAATAATGGTGCAGAAAGACTAACTTTTCTTCATTCTCGAGCTGTAGTTTATTCCTTTTCTTCTCGTAAACAATCTCAATAAAAGTGAAGAATGAATAAACACAACTTCCTTCAAGGCTAGCGTTGTCATGCGTCCGGATAAAGCCAGTAACAGTCAGACTTTGGTTGCGTGTCCGGCCAAATTAGACGGGGCGGTGTTCCACCTCCGGCTTTTGTTAGGCTTTTTATATTTGACTATTTTTTTCATTTTCCATGTACTTACATACGAGATCATACTATAACAATTATTGAAATTAATAAATATTATAATGAATATTGAATAATTAATAATAAAGAAGATTGATTCATTAAATTGTATTGTTATTTATTTCATTAGAATTTAAGATTTTATGGTGAATAATAAAAGCAGTTTTACTTTAAAAAAATTATCGTGTTATACTAAGACTGAAAAGTTAAGGGTGTTCGGCTAAGCTGGCTGGTCTGTCCGGTTTTTGATTTCAAGACCTGGCAACCCTATTGAGGGTCGAAAACTTTTGCCTAATATTCGGCTATTTAGCCACTAAGGCCCGAACCTAATATTCGATCTTAATCTATTTTTAGCTATCCAAGATTGATAATTCAATCCATTTTATGGTTAGACAGTGCCAACAATCAATCCAGGGATTAAAATTACAATCTGTAGAAGCAAGCTATCCTCGGGAGGTCGGATTACAAAAAAAGATAGACCTCTGTGGGCGAATGACAATTTGTGTGTATCAATAACCTATCTGTCAATTTTGACGTTTAGTTCGATCGGTGTAAACAATCCAAATTCGCAATCCGAGAAAAGCCTAGGATTAATCCTTCGAGTTCCAACCGATTACGTATTTTGTTTTATTTTATTTGCGCGAAAATGGATTTAACATTACTATCTAGTGACAGTGACAGTGATTTGGAAATGCTAGCTCAGTTATCTGACTCAAGTGATGAAGATGAAACCCTACGCCGCACTCCAAAGAGAAGAGTGAACTATACGCAAAGTCTCGATGACGGTGATTTTACCTTTAGGTTTCGATTGAACAAACATGCGTTCAATTCTTTATTGTTAGAAATAACCCCATTATTACGAGTAACATCCACGAGGTAAAGCAAAGCTGGTCTATAGCAAATTAGATAATTTTTTACAATCTAAGTATATAATATACTTCATTTTATGTAATCCTTTGCAGAAATTACGGAGTATCACCATTACATCAACTTTTGTTGACCCTACGGTTTTATGCACTAGGCACAATGTTGATATCCGTAGCAGATTTTGTTGGAGTTTCAAAATCTACAGCAGGCAGAATAGTGCGAGACACATCATCAGCAATTGCCCAATTATATGATAAATATATTTATGTTCATCGAAGGAGTGCAGACAAATTCTATAGAATTGCTGGATTTCCTCGCGTGCTTGGGGCAATTGATGGCACACATATCCGCATACAGTCTCCATGTAAGTAACTATACTCAACTCTTCTTAAAATTTTGGCAAATATGAATAAACTATGAAGTTGCTAATAATAATGTTTATATATTTTAGGTCATTTAATAGGCGAAGAATACAGAAATCGGAAGGGTTACTTTTCTTTAAATGTTCAAGGTGTTTGTGATGCAGACTTAAAGTTTATAAATGTTGTGGCTCGTTGGCCTGGTTCTACGCATGATGCAACTATATTTAATAACTCTATTCTGAGAGGTAGGTGTAAATAATATGTATTCAAATTGTAATAAATTTGAATATTTACTGTCAGAGCCTAATATTCTTTATTTTTATAACAGCTGAATGTGATGCAGGGCAATTCGGAAATAGCTGGTTACTTGGAGATAGTGCCTATCCAAACAGGCCATATTTATTAACACCTGTTCTGAATCCAGTTTCTGAAGCTGAACATAGGTACAATGAAGCACACATTAAAACTAGAAATACTATTGAACGGTATGTTAAATAAAACAGTATTATTAGATAAAATGTGTTATGGGAATACTGGTGTTTAATAAACAAACTATTTGTATTACAGAGCATTTGGAGTATGGAAATGTAGGTTCCCTGTTGTAGCTCTTACACTACGTTTGTCAATACCAAATAAGCAAGCAGTAATAATAGCAACTACAGTCCTACATAATATTTGCAGAAATCACAATCTCACAGAAATCCCCTCTGAAGTAGAACTATCATCTATCGACAATAGTACAATGCCTCATAATGTAGTTGTTAATGATATTCCTACAAACCATAGAACTGATTTGATAAATAATTATTTTATGACATTATAGAAACGTTGACACTCATTGGACAAATAACTGCCTTAATTAACATTACAGGTAAAAACAATTATGTAGAATAAGTTAGAAATTAAATTGTTAGTATTTTCTTAGTTTTAAATTCAAATGTAAAAATAAAGCAAGTATTAAAAATTAATTTCTCTATTAAAAATACACATTAATTACTATATTACTATACTACTGAGATATTTATAAAAAGGAACTTAAATTATAACTGCCTTCTACTACTTCTATACCACATATGTGAGTAATAGTACTTAATCTTTTTAAAATATTGTTAAATTGAAATAAACTGTGAAGTTCCTATTAAGTGTTACTTTTCTTTATAAATTGTTTGTGAATTTAATTATATTTATTTAATTTTTATTATAGTAATTAATGTATATTATAAAAATGTACATTAATTACTATAATATTGATTAATTTATATAAAAGAAGTCAAATAATTATAACTACCTTCTATGTTTTATAATAGTCTCCATGTAACTGTGTGCTGGCGACTAACTAGAAATCAGAAATCACAAGTGGTACTTTTCTTTAAATGTATTTTATTTAAAGAAAAATTCAAGCTCAAAGCTTATGAACGATGTAGCTCATCGGTCTCCTTACCAACTGCATAAAGCAACTATTTTTTGTTAACTGTTTTGAGATGCGGTTGCAAATAATATGTATTCAAATTGTAATGTGATGTGATGCAGGCTTGCACTGATGTTAAAGGTTAAAAATTGAATGTAGAATCAGTTGTTATTTTTTATTAAAGTTTGTAAATTTAATTGTAAAAATTTAAAAAATCAATAAAAATTATTTATTTCTATTAAAATACAATTATTACTATAATACGTAGACATTTATAAAAAAAGTATTTAATTTGTAACTACCTTTTCCTCCTTTTATACCACATATCATCCACATAATAGTCTCCAAGTAAGTAAAAATACTTACCCTTTTTAAATTTTTGTTCAATTTAAACACGAGTTGCTAATAATAATATTTATATATTATAGGCTATTTAGCAGGCAAAGAACTCAGAGATCACAAGTGTTACTTTTCTTTATATTTTGTGAATTTAATTGTAAAAATAAAACAAATATTCAATAAAAATTATTTTACTCTTTAATTACTATATTACTAAGACATTAATCTAACTTTAATACATTTATTACATACATATTTTATTGGTTAAAAGATTTTCAAATACAAACTACATAACTACTAATATTACAAATCATGAATACATACAAAGCTTGAATTTATTAACAACTACTTAACAGACATGACTGTCTTTTATGTATCAGAATACTTAATTATTTTTTACACTTACATACTATTACACAAATAACTATTTCTTAAAATTTTCTATTTCTAATAGAAGTTTTTCATTTTCTAATTTAAGTTTTTTATTTTCTAATTTTATATTTTCTAATTTTGACTCCAGGCACAGTTTTTTAAATGTATAATATTCTGCAATGGCACGATCTCTAGCAGATTTCGACCCATCACCCTGCAATTTCCTTTTACCTGTAAAATACAAATTAATTTAATTTATTAAATTACAAGTTAGCTTTTTTAAAATAAAAAAGGAGTATATCTTTTGCCTATTACTATTTTACCTCAATTTACACTGCTTTTAAACTAAAGCGGACTACAAATTTGACCATACCACCACCTCAGCGAATGGAACACCATGCGAAATTGTTATTTTATAAATTAAAATTCTATCAACATCAAAATAACCATTACCTGTTTTAGGAACATTGAATGTTACTCTCCGTGGTGTATCCGAAACTTTATTTTGTTCACTTTATGCTGTTGAGCATAGGTGTTAACCTGAGCCATTGCTGAATGTGGAGAAGTAGGGTTCACAACCATTTCCTTTTGCGGGTCTGGCACTGGTGTGTCCTGAAACTCTAGGATTTCTAGATTGACCCTAGCATCACCACCTAATTCCTCTACACCATTTCCATTTGGCACGATACCACCACCATCACTAATCACTACAAAGTGCTCGGGTTCCCTATCTCCCCCATAAGGAACAACTAATCCACTAGCTGTATTCCCCAATAAGCTGGTAACACGATCCAGTATTTCGTCTGGGGGTATATACTCACCAACACCACCGCCAGTCTGCAAATCAAAAAGATGAAATTAATAAAGAATGTAAATAAAATGGTTAATCATTTATTTATACTTAGATTAAAAATAAATAAACAACGAAACTAACGTTTATGTTGTTCATTCTTATTTTAGTGCAACGTTTACGTGCATTCTTCTTTAAATTCTCCCATTTCAGCCGAAGCTGTTGTGGTGTCCGACGACAACTTGTTGCTGTAGCATTAAACTGCTCGGCTATTCGTACCCACTCTTTATCTTTCATTTTATTGCTGCTGGCGTTTGTGGCTTTAGATATTATAATTTTGCTCATTTCACTAAGTTCGAGTAAGGCTTTGCTTTCATCTTTTGAAAGTGGCTTGCTCTTTATCTGAAATAAAAAGCGATTTATGTAGTTGTACATCAAGCATCAAATGATACAATATCTAATGTATTACAATTTAACTTACTATTTGTGGCTCCATTATTTTATTATTCAAAAAGTATTTGCTGTAAATATTTCTGTTCTCGAACTGTGATCGAACCGAAGCAGTGAAACTTGATAATTGTTTCGACCGACGCGAAACGCGATGAGCGATGACCGATGACGCTGCGGCCGCTACTGACCGGCGGCGTTCCGTTACGTGATTGTTTTCAAACCATACTTACATTGATTTAAATAAAAATATAATCATTTTATAATTTTAGGGAGAAAAAAGGAGTTAATGTAATAACTTCTAATTAAAGTCAATAGTTATAAATCTAAAATTACATTTTATGTTATTATATTAATACAACTATTTGAAAGAAGCAATAGTCGCTATGCATAAAACGAAACAGTCGAGAGGAAACGGATCGATCCAAACATCTGTTTGGATCGACTGCGATCGCCGCAAAAAAAAGATTGGGCTTGTTAAGTTATGTTATTGGGATGTGGATTTGGATCGATCTTTGTATAGGGTACAATCTCGGATTGCTATTAATCCTAAAAAAGAGATACGTTATTAAGTTCGGGCGTTAGTCCGCAAAATATTCTGTATTCGGCGTGTGGTCTAATATACCTACTATTCGTTGCAAGTCTAATAATAATGCGATTATAGTAAAGTTGTTTAATGAAACATCCAATGTATACAACTTCCGGCCCTAATTTATTAGAGTTTACACATTTGTAATCATTTGAGTTACCCTTTAATTTAGTTCTAGCCGCAGTAAAGCGTTACTTAAAAAAATCCACTTTTCTGATACACAATGCTCTTTTTGGACAAATACAAAAATATTATCTGTGTTGAAAATTTTGTTAAGCCAAGCTGCAGCCAGATTATGGTTGTAGCACGAATGGGTCAGCTCAACCAGGGCAGAACTAAGCTCTCACAGAATACCAGCGTAAAATATCAGTTTGATGCTGCTGTGTTTCGTATGGTGAGTGTAGAGAAGCTGATACCTGTTTTACTGGAAACGACGCATTCTATTTTAATCCTCAGGGGTGACACCGCATTCGCATTTTGATTGTTAATCGAGGATAAATGTAGTTGTCTATTGCCTACAGCGTCGACTAACCATCAGGTGGACTTTATGCATCTTTGCCCACCCTTATTCGATAAAAAAAACATAGAGCTATGACCACTTATTCGTTACAAGGCTTGTAATGCTTTCGTGCCTAGTGCTGATCGAAGCGTGTCGCAATCATTTTGCAATTCTGTATAAAATAACATTTCTAACATTTTTGTTTGAGGACAAGTCTAATTTACTATTGCAAAATTCAGAAAAAAGCAACTTTGTAATTGAACATTTAAAAAAACTAGCTGTTTATAAAAAGTACTCAAAAGTTGCATGATTTTTAAAAGCGTTTGTATCATCTAATTATTGCAAACTGAACATTATATTGTCGCTTTGCTCTCACTCATTCGCCTAAACGGTATTGCAATATAGTGAAATTAGCTTCGATCAACAATTTGTTCATCATTATCATCATTATAGCCCTTCACAAGTCCACTGCTGAACATAGGCCTCCCCCAAGGTATGCCACAAAGCAAGGTCCTGAGCCACCTGCATCCATCGACTTCCTGTATGTCTTACCAGGTTGTCACTTCATCTAGTGGGAGGGGGGTCGCCCTACACTTCGCCTACCGGTACGAGGCTGCCACTCGAGAACTTTTTTTCCTCAATGGTTGTCGATTCTTTGAGCTATATGGCCGGCCCATTGCCACTTCAGCTTACTAATCCGTTGGGCTATGTCGGTCACTCTGGTTCTACTGCGGATATCCTCATTTTTAAGTTTATCACGCGGTGAAACTCCGAGCATAGCCCTCTCCAGAGCTCGCTGAACGACTTTGAGCGTCCTCATACGGCCAGCAGTGAAGGACCACGTCTCCGTTCCGTAGGTCATTCACTGGCAACACGCACTGGTTGTATAACTTAGTTTTCAGGTTTTGAGGTATACCTGACGAAAAGATGTCGTAATTTCCCGAACGCTGCCCAGCCAAGTTGAATCCGTCGATTGACCTCTCGGTTGAAGTTGGATTTACCTAGTCGGACTATTTGTCCCAGGCAAACGTACTCGTCAACAACTTCGAGCTTAGTGCTCCCAACAACGACTGGCATAGGTGCGACATAGACATTAAACATGATCTTTGTTTTGTCCATGTACATCTTAAGACCTATCTGTTGGGATCTATATCTTCCCGT